GATGAAGGAAAATACTTGCACGTTTAAAACTAAAATAAATATATTAATAAGGGTATAATTTACCTGTGTGTACCAGCGAAAAGCTTTTATAAAACAGTTGGGATTGTTTTTCTTGCTGATCCTATCTCTATTTGTACAACGTCCCTCAGGCTGTATTTTTTTAAAAGAGAAATATTTGTAGTACTCAAACATGTAAGGACAACAAATAAACATAACACTAACAGAGTAACGTTGATACACGAGCTTAAGGTAATGGTAAAAAAATATTATGGTCTCTTTTTTGTTAAAAATTGCTACTTTATATCATTTCACACATTCATCAAGTAATTCGTAAAATATTCGTATAACAACTGAATCATTTGATGATGCAGAGGCCTATTGTGACCATATTCTTGATTACTCGTGATAACTGACGACTACCTCGTTGGTGTAGTGGTCGTATACGCGACTGATGATCGTATGATCTTGAATTAAAAATCTATTATTGGGTTTCTCTGTCAAAAAGTCTTATTAGCAGCGCGGGGTTAAGTTGGCAGTTTTTACCCCTGTGCCGTGGAAAGCAAGTAAAGCCGTTGGTTCTGCTGTTGCTCCCTCTCTGATCGTGTCGTCCCATCAAACTATGAGAGTGAGGGAATAGAGAGTGCGCCTGTGCTTGTGCAAATACACTTGTGCACTATAATCCTGTCCTGCGCTGATTGCTCGTCTCTGTTGAGTCTGGCCGCTGTGCCCAATATGTAAATTATTATTTATATACTCATATTACATTACTTGTAAGATAATTTCTTTTTTTTTATAAAACTTTTAACTACCGTTTTTGCAGTTACAGCCGTAGAGAGACAAAACATGGAACCACTCGTAGTTAACTACCAGGATTTTCAAAGGAACATTCTGTATTTTTAAGTGAGGTGCTTCACGACATTATCCGATGTGAAACTCTTTTATTGTTGGTTGTACTAGCTATAACTACGAGTAACTAGTTGGTCTATTAATAACCAAGTTACTAACCGGACGTTGATGGGAATGTCAAAAATATTTTTTAACATATTTAACATAATCTAACCACTGCTCAGACCGTGATTCTAATCTGTTAAAGTAAAAACTTCAGATAATATTCAAAGAGTATTCTCTTTGACTTTGAGAGAGTTATATGTTTATTATGTTTTTTATGTGGTAGAGCCATGCTGCAGCTATATTAGTAGTATAGTTGTAGCACGAATGGGTCGGCTTGACCGGGGAATGATCACGCTCTTACAGAATACCAGCGTAAAATAGCAGCTTAACGCTGCTGTGTTTTGTATGGTGAGTCTAGAGAACCGGAGATCCTTTTTACTGGAAATGAGGCATTCCGTCTTAGTCCTCACGGGTGACAACGCATCTGCATTTTGATTCTTTATTGAGGATAGATGTAGATGTCTATGGGCCACAGCAACCACTTACCATCAGGTGGACTGTGGGCTCGTTATGTACGCCCTTATATCCTATAAAAAATATTTATTGATCATATAAGATTGGTGATGACTGATGATACAAACTTACAATGTGAGCATAATACACGACGGGATAACGACCAACACATGGGTAGATTGGACCATCTACAGTTCTCTTGAAGGTAGAATCGTAACAAAAACCTGCGCTGCAGTCATAATCACTTGACGATGTTGATGACATTGTAAATATTTCAATTAAGTACTACTTAAAGATTTAAAAAAAATAATATTGGGATATAACAATTGTGGTAGCTGTCATTATAAAACGTATTGATCATAGATTATTAAATATAGGTATCACAAATAGGTATATAATATGTGAGTAGTGATCATAGACTGAGCATAGATAATCAATATAATATAAACAAGACATACCGAGACTTAGAATATACTGTATATTCTAAGTTTATGAAACCAGAATACTGAGAGTGACAAAGAGACTTATAACTTAGAGCAAAGGTTATATAATTATTATCATTAACAACATCTCCACTGCTGAAAATGTGTCATCCGCAAGGAATGCCACAAAGCCGACCTACATTCGTCGATTTATTGCATCTCTTACCAAATCGTCACTCCATCTAGTGGGAGGTCGTCCATTATTCAGATTATCGGTAGAAGGCTGCTATTCAAAGGTTGTCGGTTTTTCGAGTAAAGAGATGCGTTAGGCTTTGTTGGTGATTCTGGTTCTACGGACATCGTCATCACGCAGATTATCATGCAGAAAAACTCTAAGCATAGCCCTTTCCATAACTCGCTGAGCTTCCTAATGCGGCCTGTAGTGAAGGACCACGTCTCAGATCTATATTAATAATGTCCTTCTTTTGAAAGTTTGCTGCTATACATGGGCCTTTTATGATGTAGGGAGGGTTCGTCATAATCTCTTCGTTTGGTAGGAGCATTGTCAATTTTAGTATTAGATATATCGCGGCTTTTGCATACTTCAGAGGTAGTAAAATATAAATTAGCAAAAATAAAGAGGCAGATTCCTTAGAAAACCACCACTTCTTGCATTATTACGTAGCTTCTCAATTTTTTTTTACTATACTAATGAGGTTGTTATTAACTTAATTTGCTTAATTTCGCGTACAGAAAGAAAATGATGTGTACTGCCCATTTTAAGGGGACCTCCCACCCTCCCTCAATTGCATGCACTATACCCGTCACCGCCAATCCCAGCACTACCACACCCAGCACCATCACACTAGGAACGACACACCACTCCCGAAAACACGTGGGGCACGACACATCATTTTCTTTCTTTACGGAGAATTAAGCAAATTATGTTATAACAACCTTATTATAATGGATTTCCGCAAAGTAACGCCTGATTCTATTAATTACTAAGGTACGTGAGGGTAATATGGTCACCTTAACCTTTGCCGTTCTATAAAAACAAAACTAGGAGGCGGATAAAGAAAAAAATAGCAAACAAGCCATGGCAATAATTAGGAACACTTCGAAAATTCAACTTAAAAAAATTAACTACACTACTCAATACTAAATAAAAAATGTAAAATTTATATAATATCAACTATCAAAATGGCGTCAATAAAACGGTGCCCTTTTGACCATTTATAATTTGAGTGACTGATGAAGAGCTATCGTATGACAAAGCCACCTATGCGAATAAGACCATAGTTTTTGAGTTATAAGAAAGTGTCCATATTAACCGGATGACCATATTACCCTGACGTACTATATAATATACACTAATATTAAAATCAATATCAAATCTACACAAAACCGTTATTTATTAGACACGAAATTCATATTTATTTTGCACTGCCTCATAAAAATACATTTTATTACACTGACGCACTGCAGCGGACGCTTTTCTGCTATATAGTCCTCTCAAAAATGTAAGAAAACCTTTTACCAATCATCTTTGCTCCGGAGACGTGTATCACTGTTATTTTCTACGTAACGTACGTATGTTTTTATAAGAGGGGACAAACGAGCTTACGGCTCACCTGATGGTACGTGACTACCGTCGCCCATCAACAACTACAACACCAGGGAAATTGCAGGTGCGTTGACGGTATTTTAGAAAGGAGTAAGCTCTTTTCTTGAAGGTCCTTAAGTCGTATCGGTCCGGAAATATGGCCGGTGGTAAATTATACCACAGAGAGGTCTTGCGAGGAAAAAAACTCCTAGTGAAACGTACAGTTAATTAAGAAAACATTGCAAATATCTATTACATACGAGTTTCTATTACTCAGTATGAGTAGAGGAACAATGTACAATCAATACGCAACTCGCTGATTTCATCGCTCTTGATATTATTCGTTTGCACGATCAACTAATCCGAAATTATGGGATGAAGTTGTTAATGGAACTGTTTTGACAACATTCTAGTTATTACTTTGAGGTTATGATCCACTCAAAAGGACCAAAAAATTTAACTCTAATTTATACTTTTTACCGTGATAGCTCAGATGGTTAGCGCTCGCTGTAAATTTCACAGTACACGAGCAACGGGTTCGATCCCCGCCGGCACCAATGAAATTGTTAATTGCAATTTTAAGTGGTGATTTACCACGTGCCCGGCGGTGAAGGAAAATATCGTGAGAAAACCTGCATGTCCGAGAAATAAGAAAGAAAATATTAGTAAAGTTTGCCAACACGCATTTTGGGGCAGCGCGGCGGACACTTCCTTGCCCTAAAACCTTCTCAGAAATGGGAGGAGGCCTGTGCCCAGCAGTGGGACGTATATAGGCTGTAACTTTAGGCTTTAATTCTCCTATACTATACATCTTAGCATCGACTTCTGAAGCAGTTATGTAGAAAATTTATTTTATTCTTTGGCGTTCTTTGAAGCCGGCTTTAACTTTTTGTTAGAAGTTTATTTTTTCTTGATATCGGTAAGCTATTCGTAGTTACGGACTTTGTAAGTTAATACTTGTATTAATTTTATTTGGGTGTATTTATGTAATAGATTCGTGGTAGTCTCTGACTTACCACGTTTTTTTATAGAAGAGGGGGCACCGACCATGAACAACTGCAACACCAGGGGAATTGCAAGTGCGTTGCCGGCCTTTTAGAAAGGTAAGCTCTTTTCTCGAAGGTCCCTAAGTCGTATCGGTCCAGAAAAATCGCAGTTTGTAAACGATTCCACAAAGAGGTCGTACGATCTCGCAATGAAGGAAAATATCTTTTCGAGGACATGTTGCGAAGGCCACTAACATACACTAATACATAGTGCGGTAGACTGATTGTTCTCAGAGAGAACGCCAGTTGTCAGCAGTGGGTCCTATATAATATGCTGTAACTTTATTTTAACAAAACATTTGAGATTCGATGTAGGTAAATTTTAAAGTAAAAAGATTGCAGCTTCAATGCTTTAGCACATTATATATAATAGTAACTGACTTTAGCACATTATATTATATATAATAGTACTTGACTTTAGTTACAAATCCGTTCGAATGTGTGCGCGGTTCCTAAGTATTCATAGCCCTAATGAATTCAATTACAAAATAGTTGACATATAGCATTGATTATTGTACAAATATGCTAATAAAATATTTTTTCATAATATTAAATATTGTATTTGGTACAAAATCCTACAGCAATATTTTGTATACAATAACTGATCAGAAGGATCACAATTCAAGCGGTAAGGTATAAGAAATTTCATCGAAATTATACATTTCTAAAACTGTTAAATTCTTTATATTAAACAAACGAGTGGTAAAATTAAAAAATTGTACAACCGACTTCAATATAAATTATTAAGGATAACTCAAAAACTACTGGTCAGACCTATATACTGATCAAATTGACATGAGAGGCACCAGCTTTCAAATAAAAAAGGAATTATCATAATCGGTTCACCTAGAAAAAGTTATGACGTAACACACGAAAAAATACATTTGAATTGAGTACCTGCTCCTTTTTGAAAACGGTTAGAAAGAAAAAGAAAACAATTCTCGCATTCGAAGGGATAATAATATGTACATTTAGATTACTGTAGTTTAATTAATAGAATCAGGCGTTACTTTGCGGATATCCATTATATTAAAGTTGGCAAAAATTACCTCGCGTGCATCCGCTCGATAAAATAAAATGATGTGTCTTACCTAGTTTGAAGAGCACCTTCCGCCCTACCTCAATTGCGTGCACTATCCCCGTCACCAATAATCCCAACACCACTACACGAGGCATCTTCGGGTGATGATGCCTCGTGTAGAGGCGAAACACGTGTCGTATTGTCGTAAGTGGTGTGTCTTTGTTAGTGTAGTGGTGTTGGGAGAAGTGGTGCTGGGATTAGTGGTGACGGGGATAGTGTACGCAATTGAGGGAGGACGGGAGGTGATTTTCAAACTAGGTAAGACACATCATTTTATTTTATCGAGCGGATGCATGCAGGGTAATTTTTGCCAACTTTAATTACTGTATTTTATACATTTTCAGAACTTAAATGTCTTGAATATGAAGAATCTAGTTACGGTGCAACTCAGGCTTTGAAGAACGAACGTAGTTTGAAACCGTTGGATAAAACAACAGTAAATGCAGTAGAATCAAGTACAAAGTTCACTACCACTACAGTGAATAATGGTACATATCTGGACAATGTTTTTTATCATCTAGTTGTTAGTTAACCTACGCATACATGCTCGTCGGTTAAGGTTAAGGGTATGCGTAGGTATATGGATGTGGAGGACGCGAGAGAGGTGTGTCAGGATCGTGTCGTGTCAAATGGAAGTCCGTAGTCTCTGCTTACCCCTCTGGATGACAGACGTAAGTGTTTATGTATGTATTATTAGTAAAGTTTTGGTAGTTATAAATTAAATTCCTTATCAATAAATTATAATATAAATTATTATCTGCAACAATATGCCCAATGACCGAGCTTTGCTTGATGTTAGAAAATATAGTACGTTAGGGTAATATGGTCTTCCGGTTAATATGGTCACTATCTTATCTGATACGATAGCTCTTCATGAATCAATAAAATAATAAAGGGTCAAGAGGGCGCTGCTTTATCAACGCCATTTTGACAGTTGAAATGATTGTAAATATTTTGGTAGATTTTAGTATTGAGTAGTATAATAATTTGTTTTATGTTGATATTTCGAAGTGTTGCTAATTATTGGCAAAGCTACAGTACATACGTCTTTGTGTTTTTGTCTCTGTCTTCTTCCTAGGTTTGGGCGGCAAAGCTTAAGGTGACCATATTAACCTCACCTACCTTAATATATATTGATGACACTTACCTTATCTTTAGTATCATCAACCAACTTGTAGGTAAAACGTAAACTATATATGAAATTTCATTCAAATCGCTAAAGTCGTTTCTGAGAAACCAGTAACATATAAACATAATTTCATAATTATTCATTACAGTCCTTCATAAGTTCACTGCGGAACATAGGCCTCTCAAAAGGAATACCATAAAGCACGGTCCTAAGCCACCTGCATCAGTCGACTTCCTGCGTGTCTTACCAGGTCTTCACTCCATCTAGCGGGGACACCCACACTTCGCTTAACGGTACGATGCCACTAATAAGTAATGTGGCAAATATTAAATCTGCTGGATGGAACAAGCTGGATCAGGTGGAGGAGGATCAGCCCCTCATTATGTTATACGAGGCACCCAGCGGGGCACAGTGCATGGCCTTTTATTTGTACGCTCTACTCTGCTGACATTATTAAAAGGATATCGATTTTCAGCAGATCTTTTGATTTCACATTTTATTCGAACGACCAAGCCAGACAACCGAGCGAGATAACTACAGCTCAGATTGTTTACACGTATTAAAATACGCTCATGTAACTTTTACTCTCTTGTTTCTTCGTCCAAACTCGATCGTTTTAATTTTTTTTTTCAAGTACAATATTGTGACCACAGCCAGTTATATGTTGCATCACTTTTGCTCAGGAATGTTCCTGAAGGTTGACATTCCAATCGAAATTAGAATAATGTGTAGGAAATAAGTATTAACATCTGTTTACTATTTTCACCAAGAATATCTTCTGCAGCAGCTTCCATATCCATATAGCTATTAAAAGCATTGATAATGTTTAGAAGGATTGGTTGTGGTAGAAAATCAAGGAGGACATAATTATCATAATATGAGTTAGTTTCCTTAAACGACTGGAGATAGTTTTCGGAATGTCACTTATTAAATTTTGTACATACGTGTTTGAGTTAGCAGATTAAAATTAGTTCTTTTCGATATGGTAAATAAAGACAAACTATTATCAAAAGCCAGTAAGTTTTTTGTAGTTATTTTATTTAATACAATATAAATTTTAGTTTCAGATCCGTTAATCATCTTCCAAAAAATTATACACCAATTTTTATTTGGTCCAAAAGCGACATATGAAGGTATTTATGTATTATTTTTATATCTTAATAACATTTTTTATCATCTTCATAACTATAAAATACATAAGTACCTATGTAATTTACAAACATTTTCATCTTTCTTTATATATTTTCATACTAAACAAAATTAGGTACTTATTAAAACGTTATGTAATTTGAGTTTTTCGATTGTGGGTTTGAAATCGTCTTGTGCAGTCACAATTTATTAGTCTTCGAATCAAGAATCTGGAATGTTTTTTTCAAAGATAACAATTCTAATCCAACCAATAAATTTATCATAGAGGTTATGTCATGGAAAGGTTGACTTATCTTTTTCCAAAGACATTTAAGTAGTAGTAGTAACCTATATATTTAAATCTCTTTGTCTTTTTCTATCTATCTGCGTCCCAAAAATGTTTTTTATTATTAAACTTAAGTGGCTAACTTACAGTCCACTCTAATAACCACCCGTTCGCGCTGACACCATAATATATTTTTTTATAGGATAGGTTGAAAAACGAGCACACAGTCCACCTGATGGTAAGTGGTTCATGTTGAAACCATATTGTACCTGCACCACGTACATTGGCTCCACCACGTAAATGTCACCTGTTAGTTAACTCTAAGCGTAAAAGTATCTATTTAAAAAAATGTAAGAAAAACTGCAGTTTAAGTCTACATTCGTATAATTATAAAATTGATCTACTACTACAGGAGAAACAGCCAATAAGAAGAAGAAAGTCTATGAACAAAACGCGGTACAAGAATCGATACCTGACCACTATCCGACTGGAAATGTATTAAGGTAAAATCTTATTATATCTGAAAATATATAAAGGTAATTTTAAAATATGGAATAATTGATTACCATTTACATTACTGCTTATCAGAAGTCCACTGCTGAACAAAGGCTTCCCCCATAGATTGCCACATAGGGGGAATAATTACCATAGTTGCCACACTTGGCAAGCGCGTTGGCAATTGCAGTTCCTTGTTTTTTATTCTGCCAGGCTTCGTACAGTTTTCTTTTGTCGCCTCTTGCGACACCCACGGAATGATATGGGGTAATGGATATTCTTACACCGCCATGCAATAATCTGATGTAGTCAATACTTAAATGGACGTAGTTATACAAAACAACCCACAAGCCATTCAAAAATAAGTAGATCTGTATATTTAATTAATTTTTGATTGTCACTCCCACGACTGACTTGACATTGGCAGAATTCTTTTAAGAGAAGCCAAAAAGTAAAGAAGAAGAAGAATTAATTTTTAAAATGACTTGTGGGTTGGAACGTTTTTGTATAACTACGTTCAATTAGCGCAGGAATCTTGATTTTTCATTAACTTTCGATCAGGGACATTATGAATAGATGACACCATCAACGTGGTAGCTTAGCACCTTAACACCATCCGTAAATTTCACTGTATGCTAACGACCCTGAATCTATCCCCGCCCGCACCTATCAAATTAATAATTGAAATTTATATATGCTGATTTACAACGTGCTTGGGAAGCAACACACCTGCATGCCTGAGCACGTACTGAAACAGCGTATTTAACTTATTGCCAAAAACCCTTTTAGAAAATAAAATGCCTGTGTCAAAAAGTTCTAGCATCTCAGTTGTACACCCAATTTTTTTACAATAATTGTGAACAGCCTCAGTCTGTGCCCCGCCGCCACCATTGAAAAAGTTATCTAATCGTTATTATTTGTATTGTTTCACTACGTGTTCATTGGTGAAGGGAAAGGTGCATTTGTGAACAAGTCGTAAAATTAAAAAAGTGTGTGTGTGTGTGTGTGTGTGTGTGTGTGTGTGTGTGTGTGTGTGTGTGTGTGTGTGTGTGTGTGTGTGTGTGTGTCAGCTCCGGCGCACGACTGGAGTTTACTCCTTACGAACGATTATTTGTTTATAAAAAGCAGTACAGCCGAGAGTACTCTGTGCTGGGGGCGCGCAAGATAAGTTGCGCACGACATTACGTAGTCATGGAAACACGAATACATAACGTAACGCATGACGTAGCGTTTGATTTTACTCCCCTTAAATTTTCATGCTCCGGGCTTATATATGAAATCGATTCTTAAAGACTAAACTCCAAATAATTTTGTACAACCGACTTCAATATAATTTATTGTTGAGTTTTTGAAAACCGCTCGACCGATTTTGATAAAATTTAAATGGGACAATTTGAGAAGTATATATTTTAAAACAAAAAAGAGTTTTCCAAATCGGTTCAGGCGTCTTCGAGTAATCGGCGAACATATATAAAAAAAGCTTCCGACGAATTGAGAACCTCTTCCTTTTTTGAAGTCGGTTGAAAATTATTTTTCATAAAAGTTATAGTGGAAGGTCTATGGGACAAGCAGAAAGACGTTACGATGGTTTTTACGTAATTCTTTTTAAAAGTAACGTACGATATTTTTAAAAAGAATTATGGTAGAGCCATGCTGCAGTTACATTTCATACGTCGTAGAGTCTTGCTGCAACTAATAATAATGTCCTCCAGACCGAACTATATTAGTAGTATAGTTGTAGCACGAGTGGGTCGGGCTCGACCAGGGTACGAGGTCTCACAAAATACCAGCGTAAAAAAGCAGCTCAACGCTGCTGTGTTTCGTATGGTGAGTGTAGAGAACCGGAGACCCTTTTTTCTGGAAACGAGACATTTTATCTTAGTCCTCAGAGGTGATAAATAACGTATCTGCATATTGATTCTTAATAGAGGATAGATGTAGATAACTATGGGCCACAGCATTCACTTACCGTCAGGTGGTCCGCGTTCTCGTTTGTCACCCGTAATTTGCTTATATAACATTAAAAAAAAAAAACAAGAGCACAATGTCCTAGCGGTAATAAATAGAAAACAGTAGTGTGTGACGAGCGTTTTATCGAGGAGAAGTAATAAATGCGAGCATGTCACAAGTCTCGGATATTTGATAATGAGCTTGTCCAACTTTCTTGATATTGTACTTCTGCAGTAATTATAGAGCCAAATATTAAATAGGTGTAATAAATAATGCCGGTATAAGGTCACCACACATTAGTCTCGCCTCAACGCCTCACACCTCGTTTGTGTACCGATACAACAATTTTCTTTCCGAGATTCTTTCCGAGAGCTTGCTTTCCTTTAGTAAGTTTGATAGTACACACTTTCCAAGCCTCTTTCTTTTCTTATTTAACGTTGTTTAATTAATATAGCTTTGTCAAAATTGCCACTTATTGCTTTCAATTCGTCTTTATTGACTATATGTTTTCGGTTGCCCACTGGACTTGTTTGTTGGTATTTGTTGTCCAGAGTTGGGATCCGAAAACAAGACTTACAAAGTAAAAATATATTTTTTTAATAGGATAAGTGTGACAAACTAGCACACAGTTCACCTGATGGTAAGTGGTTGCTGCGGCCCATAGACATCTACATCTATCCTCTATTACAAATCAAAATGTAGATGCGTTCTCACCCGTGAGGACTAAGATGGAATGCCTCATTTCCAGTAAAAAGGGCCTCCGGCCACCTACACTAACCAAGCGAAACGCAGAAGTAAACCTATACTTCACGCTGGTTTTCTGTGAGGTCGTGGTACCACCCCGGTTCGAGCCGGCCCATCCGTGCGACAACAAAAGCTGCCGCGTGGCTCTACCACTGTTAAAAATGCGCATGCTTTACGTTATCTTGACTATTTAGACTAATATCGATAAAAATTTGAATAACACTGATAGACAAATCTCTTTATCAGGGCAGAACTTTTCCAAAATAAGAGTGGTGTCCATCTACCGATGTCGGAGTACCTTCACCGTGGTCACTCACGTCTTAATATAACCATGGACTTCATGCAGACCGCGGTTAACGCTTTCGCTATTTTCCTCGACGGCAACGAAAATGACATTTTGCAATTGCCGGCTTCGTATGTCTTGCATTCTGTTAGTAGAGATGATAAATTATTTTTATAATACTTTTTACATAACATGACGAGTTTTTTTTACAGGAGAGGGTGACAAACGAACACACAGTCCACCTGATGGTAAGTGGTTGCTGTGACCCAAACACATCTACATCTATCCTCAATAAAGAGTCAAAATGCAGATGCGTTGTCACCCGTGAGGACTAAGAAGGAATGCCCCTTTTCCAGTAAAAAGGGTCTCCGGTTCTCTACACTCACCATACGAAACACAGCAGTGTTAAGCTGCTATTTTACGCTGGTATTCTGTGAGAGCGTGGTCCTTCCCCGGTCGAGCCGACCCATTCGTGCTACAACCATATTTTGAGGAGTTATCAGATTTGTTTCATCACCATAACAGCCTATAAAAGTCCACAGGGGAACATATCCCTCCCCTATAGATTGCCTAATGGGAGGGATTTTACCATAGTTACATCCTTGACATGGGGGGCGTCAACATTATTTTCAGTTGTTATCGGGAACATGCTGCGACCCATCACCAGTACTAGTTTCCTTCTGTCACCTCTTACGACTTCCACGGGACTATATGGTGTAGTGTATATTCTTGCACCGCCACTACACGGTTTATGTAACCATAGTTAAGATAGAGATTCAATCTGTAGGGAGATTTCTTTATCACCACGCTCCACAAGCGTATAGGTAAACGCATCCACTAAATATTATATATTTAGTGGTAAAAATATAATTTTATTAGTAAAAAAGTGAAATAACAATCTACAAACAAAGGAATTTCCTGACGTGTTACGCCGGCTTCAAAAAAAGCGTACAATTCGATTGTGTTTTTTGGTATTTATGTTACGCAATATCTTCGTCAATTTTGATTATTCTTTTAATGATAAGGCTTAACTTAATATGTCCCATATACATATATCGTAATAGGGAATGGAATTTTTAATGTAGGTAACTATTTCGAAGACAATGGGATTGTAACATTCCTCGATCCACTCAAAAGGCCAAAAAACTAACTTTTAATAAAAAGTAAAAGCTGAATTCATGTTTTGATTTTTCTATACACTATGTCTTAGCATCGACTTCAGAACTTGATATTGCACGCCTCATAACGCGAAGCGTTATTAGGTAGTGCATTACTCTCGACACGACAAGGTCAAGCAATTTTGTGTTCTTAAAATGCCTCTATCATAACCATGTTGCACTTACACGATAATATGAGTAGCCGTATATCAACAAAACACTAATTAATCCATCTTATATTTTCTAAAAAATCTTTTTATATTACTACTTCGAACAAAAAGGTTTGAAAAATATTTTACTTGGACATCCGGATGTTGATTTTGTTTGTGGTCACCGATAACTCTCGGAAAAATTGACGTATCAATACCGGGTTTTTTTTTATTAGCTTCAGAATTCATTCAATCAACTGGTTCCCTATTTCATATCAATAGCCTAGTACCTACGCGTAGTTTGTTAATAAAATTATTTTTAACTTTTATAAGTTTTATTGCTATTATAAATTTATAGGCGCTTTCATATATCTTTTAGCCCTTCATAGACAAAGGACAAATGTACCATACAGCCTGTAACGATTTTATACTTTGTGTAATCGATTTATTTTGGTAAACATTATTAACTTTGTACCGTCGAGAATAGAATTTTTTTCATCAAATTTAAGTGAAATGCTCATGAAGCGTGCACTTTTGGATTTTCCAAACTATCTTTTAATTATTTTCACTTCTTTGAAGTCAGTCAGTCTTTTACTTTTTATTGAAAGTAATTTTTTGATAGCCCAAATACTCAAGCGCTGCTCAATTTTTAGATGCCGTTAAGTCTCGTGCTATCTCTATCACTTTAAGTCAAAGTGACTGTGACACCACGAGACTTAACATCTTAAAATTGAGTAGCTTTTAATTATTTGGTCAACAAGAGCCGCAAGTTGTTTTTCAGAGCGAGTTAGCGGATTTTTAAGGCATGCTGGTTTCTTTACAATGACTGCCTACGATGTTGAACACTTGACTATCTAGCAATTTAAACTAACTGTGCTTTAGAGATCGAGCTAAGTTTATTAGCGTGCTGTGAGATTTGAAGAGCTCGGTCCGTCGACCGGTTCAGGTAGATCAGTGGCTGGTTATTCGCAAATTAGCCCGAATCTTAAATAAAAGAGTGGTGACTGGGGTGAATACGCAAAATATTCACGATGCTTAAAACTCCTTGTTCAGTAGCGGGTAACTAAAAGGCTGCATAAAAAATAACGACTTAAAAACAATATTTAATAGACGAACGACTTATGTGTTATCTATATAAATAAAATTAAAGTGTCTGTCTGTAATATTGAAATAACTAGCTTCTATGAAGCTCGGGGGAATATTTAATATTATTTATCATGCTATTATACATAAACAATCCTTTTTAAAATTATTGTCTCTCTGTTTGTCAGTCCGGTCTAATCTTTGAAATGGCTGAACTAATTGTGATGAAACTTTACGAACATATAGAGAGCAATACCAGGAAGGATCTAGGCTATAAATATTTTATCCAAAAACTTTAAGAATTTTATAAATGTTCTTTGATTATCTTAAATCTACGTCACGAAACATTAATAGATCCTACACAGGAGAAGCCGGGGCGGGTCACTTGTGTAATATAAATTTAATTTCCCAATAGGCCCGAACAATTTCCATGATGAAAATAGCTCGCGAAAAGTTAGCGGCTACATGGGCCGTGGTTAAAGGAAAACAGCGATCTGATCAAATCACACACCAAACCCTAGAATTGTATCGACCGTTGTTCAAATATCTTAGTGGAAAAGAGATCGCTAAGCTAAATTTAAGTGACCAACGAATATTGACTTACATCGGAACACACGCCGAGTTAGACAGACACCAGGTAAACAAACACGTTTAAATAAATTAGTTTTATCATTTCTGTTTTGCATGCCTTAAGCGTAAAGCACGTAGGTATGTTCTACTAGCGCCTAAAAATCAAGATTCCAACGTTTTGTCGCATGAAATCGTATCTAATAATCATATTGAACATATAAATTATATAAAAAGCACATTTTCAGAAAGATAAATGATTGTTGAACTTATTATTTTTTTTAAATCGATTTATTGCTATTTTTACATAAAAAATTGGTTTTAGTGGCTTATGGCGTAGATTTATCAAGTCCGCATGTAGTGGTAAACACGATAACTTTTGAAAATATAAATTGTTTAACTCAATCTATTTTTTAATTTCTTCATCTATCATGTGGGAAGCCGTGGAATATAAATGGCAGTTTAGTTTTGTTTTGCTTAGTTATAATTAATTTTTTACGGCTGCGAAATGTCGAAATTTTCGCTGTTTTAGCAGACTTGTATTAATTTATTTTACTATGCTCTACCTTACTAGCTTATTACGCAATACGCACTTGGCCGCCGTCGTGAGTCGATTGCTATATCGTTTGCTTACAGCAGCGATACAAAATATTCCAAAAACCAAGTTTGATACATACTTGACCAAGGTTATTATTTTTATAAATAACAGATTTTTATTATAATATTTTGTCGCTAAAAGTACGTAGGATTTATATATAAATATACTTATACGTACCGGCAGGCGAAGAGTAGGGCGTCCTCCCACTAGATAGAGTGACAACTTGGTAAGACATGCAGGAAATCAATGGATGCAGGTGGCTCGTGACCGTGCTTTGTGGCATTGCTTGGGGGATGCCTATGTTCAGCAGTAGACTTGTGAACGACTGTAATAGTGATAATGATGATGATACATTTTGGACTTTATGGAGTAATCTGAATGTGTACTTCAGTGAACGCTGCTGGAACTCCTCGAAGAGTAGAACTAGGTGTGCCGAGTCTGGCCTTGTTTTGTTAGGTATGATGAGACCTTACCTCTGGATTTGATGGAGTGACTTGAAGGTGTACTTCGATGACAGCTACTGGAACTCTTTGACGAATAGAACTACAATTTACATTTTTTTAATTTTTTCACGATCATATTATGAGCATTATGAGTCGTGCACTTTTTGGATGATATTTGACATAAAAACATTTTTTGTTTATTTTTAATAAAAATACTAGTAACGTTATTAAACATTACTAATATTCCCTTTAACCACTTCTGGTAAGCTTAAAATGATTGTGTTAGAAGTGGTTCACGGCAGTAGTCGAATGGCGGATTCGAACTCACGACCTTTCGAGTTCGCGGTCCGTGCCCTGCCATTAGGCTATTGACGTTTCTAAAGTATCGAAAAATTTGAAGTATAGTAATAATTATAAGGTTTTAGTGAGAACTTGTGTGTGTTTAATTAAATTAAAGATTTTACGTATTAACATGTTAGACGTAATTTTTTTAATGCGCTTAAGGCATGCACAATTAGATTTACCAATAGTTTTTGAACCTGAAATCGATGGTTCTTTACGGTTTTAAGGTCCGTATACTTTCTGTTTCTTCAATATCAAATTAGTTATAATATACTGCCTAGATATAGCTCTTTTCAAGTATATGGCAACTGGTATGCTAGGCAGGAGGGTTAGAGAGCACTATAACCAGTATATTATGAGTTTTGCTTTGCTTAAAAATACCGTCATTTGTTGTTCACTAGAGGCTCGTTTAATAGGTAGCAGACTGCACAGCGTGTAGGTGGGAGGTAAAAGAAGTTGGTAGACACTCTACGCCCCTCATCTCTACGCCTCTCTTTCTTCTTTCTTCTTATCTCCCTTCTTTCGAAATTCCCCACTCAATTGAAACAATTCAGTAACTCATGAAAAATGTATTTTGTAAAAAAATTACTTATATTGGCTATATACGTCATGAGGTATCTCCTTCACTATGAAGCGGTTAGTACGCTCATACGCCATATATGGCCTATATACTAGGTGTTAGGAGATGGAGTTCTCACACTGCCCGTCTCACAGCAAAGCAGACTCATAAGGCTGATCAGAGTTTCTGGCGACTAAAGGTGTCTTGGCTGCAGTGAGATGGAGGTCTTACCAGGACTCTTGGCGGTAGTAACGAAGAATTCGTCCAGCGTTGAAAGAGTCAAGTCAACTGCCTATTATTAGAAGTTATTGTACCTACATCAGGGCTACGATGGATATCCGTGTACGGAACCAGATTATCTGTCCAGCAGTACATCACTCACCTTGGATTTACCGACGATATAGTCATTATGACAGAACAGAACACACAATAGACAGAAGTGAAAAATATAATCAAATATTATTTTCTCATAATCCATTTCCTAACAGTCAGGCTGATGGGTGACAATCCGACTCGACCGGAGAGAAATAAGACGCAAGAACAATGGCTTTGCGTGCTGTCCGAGGCACGGGGTTGAAGCACCATTAACTACTTAACTTCGGGCTGCTAGAGAAAAGCACAATAATATGGTATCGCACTTACATACGACTACAAGACCAACGAGACAGTCAAAAATATTATCGTATGCGAGCAAAATGACTTCGACCTTGGTCGGCTCTACTGAAATTGTTTAACAGAACTCCAATGATCGGGCGCGCTTCCGGTGCACCTACCACTACCGTCCCGTCTACCTACCGTCGCCGTCAGTTCATTTGATCTCCAGCGGGAACTGTCATTTTTACTAAGTGCTCAAAGATGGCCTAAGTATATCCAAGAACTTAAACAAAAAACGAGTACATGTGCAGTTGTGGGATGTAAGAGAGTTGTTAGTAATGTGGTGTGTAACTGGGAAGTTCCCACTGCTGTACGTTATTGCGCCCGGCCGATATTATAATATTCAGGTAAAGGGCGAACAGCGAAAGTAAAGGGGTGTGAAAATTATCTTGTACTGTGATTGTTAATTGGTGCTGCGAAGTTAGCCAAGTTGACATTCTACAATCGTTTATGCTAATAGAAACTATAAAAGGTCAGATATTATGTTATTATATGCCCATTAAATTATATGCCGTGTTGTAGAGGAGTAAGATTATCCATTACCAAGTATCGTGGCGTGGGTGACGCAACAGATGGAATTCGACACAGATGATGGGCAGCAGCATCTTCCTAAAAACAACTCAAACAATAAAATACTGCGGTTGCTCACCCGCTTGCCAAGCATAGCAACTATTGCAAAATCCCCACTTGGCAATTTTTGGGGGAGGCCTATGTTCAGCAGTGGACTTCTTTAGGCTGTAATGTACAGATGGATGAATGGATTCATTTTCATAGTTTTCTATAGCGTTACCTTTTGTAGAAAGTTATCTTTTCTTTCATATAAAATGAATGATATAAAATATTTTAAGTATCTTAAAGGTGGGTGTGGTAGCAAGTAGATACATAAAGTTGAATAAGGACTGGTGTGAGGCGAGATATTTAAATTTAATGAACAATTTGCTTTGCGGAATTCCAATAACGTTTATGCGGCAAATTCCTGTGAGTACGTACCTGCAGCTATCGCATCAGGTAACATTTTATAAGAATTAAAATTATTAAGTAGTTGTTCTCGGTAGCCCAATGACTAAGCATTTCACTGTGGAGCCGCGAGTTCGAATCCGCGCAATATAATGTTTATATACCGTTACAGCCTATTCAAGTTACTGCTGACCATAGGCTTTCTTCATAGATCGCCTCATGGGGGATATTTGCCATAGTTGCCATGCTTGGCAAACAGGTTGGATTTGTTTTCATCTGCCGCCTCTTACGACACCTAAAGGATGATATATGTAGGGTAGTGGATTTTCTTACACCACTACCATACGGTCACGGTCAAATGTTTATATGACCTACAATTTGTAGTAGGCTACAAATAATCAATTTTTAAATAAAAAAAATTTTTACGTGGTAGAGCCATGCTGCAGCTATATTAGTAGTATAGTTGTAGCACGAATGGGTCGGCTCGACCGGGGAAGGACCACGCTCTCACAGAATACCAGCGTAAAATAGTAGCTTAACACTCCTGTGTTTCGTATGGTGAGTGTAGAGAACCGGAGACCCTTTTTACTGGAAAAGAAGCATTCCATCTTAGTCCTCACGGATGACAATGCATCTGCATTTTGATTCGCAAACGAGGATAAATGTAGATGTCTATGGGCCACAGCAACCACTTACCATCAGGTGGACTGTGTGCTCGTTTGTCACCCTATCCTATAAAAAAAATTGTTCCGGATGTACGTGAGTACATTACACTTCAATATTCCTGATCTGGATATTTGTCCGGTTTAAAACGCCTCAACGATACAGGATAACATCCTACTATTAACTTTTTTTATTTATTCATAGTGAAGGTCCGATGTAATAATAAAAGATTATACTGATATCAAGGTTAAACTTTTATGGATCAATAAAATCTATAACTCATTAATGGAGACTGAGAATGTGAGCAGCATTTTAATTATAATTTCACTCGATTTAGAAATTAAAAAATAAATTTGAATTATCCAAAAGTAAACACTGTTTATAGTTTTACAGCCAATTTAATTTGTCACACAAATATTTTAATAGACGAATAGGTAGCGCCTTATTTGATATTATTAGCAATTTACAATTACACTGTATGTTAAACTCTGCAGATATTTTACCACATTCATGCCTGTGAGCCGTTGCAACGGCGTTTTTATTTGGCTATGATGAGAAAAACTCAGGTAATTTGCTTTAGTTAAATCTTTAAATTTACCTTAATGTGTAGTGATGGTGTAAGAATATCCACTAACCCATATCATACCGAGGATGTCGTAAGAGGCGACCGAGGAAACAAATCAGGAGATGGGCAGTAGCATCTTCCCATTAACGACTGAAAATAAAAAATTGCGGTTGCCAACCCACTTGCCAGGCGTGGCAAGTATGGCAAATATACCCACTACGAGGCAATCTATGCTAACTAGCGTGGCAACTACGACAAATATCCCCCCTATGAGGGGCCTAAGTACAGCAGTGGACTTTTATAGGCTGTAACAGTAACGATAAAGCTAAATTAAAGGAGGACATATAATGAGAGATGCATATTTTGAGCCCGCAAAAGTCCACTGCTGTGTCTAGCAATAGACTTTTACGTGCACAGAGTCTTAATCCTTGGGGAGACCATGGTTCTCCTATTGTAGGTAGGGTTTGTTTTCATCGTTACGCTTGATATGCGGGTTGTTGACCTCATTATACGTGGTAGAGCCACGCTGCAACTATATTATGGTTGTAGCACGAATGAGTCACAGAATACTAGCGAAAATAGCAACTTAGTGCTGCTTTTACGTATGGTGAGTGTAGAGTTTTTACTAGAAACGAAGCATTCTATATTAATCCTTAGGGATGACAACGCATCTGCATTTTGATAATAATTGAGGATCGATATTCATATCCATGGGCCACAGCATCCACTTACCATCAGAAGGACTGTATGCTCGTTTGTCACCGTTATTTCATAACGAAAAAAACAGACGTCTTGCATCCGCGACGCCACTCTTTGTCGCAGGTTTCGGTAATTTACACCAGGCGCAGAATGCCATCTATCGGAAATTTAGATTTTATATGCGTTCCGATAGATGAATCAACACAATAAGATTTTATGATTTTCTGACTTTTCCCATAGACTCGAATTCTCGAAATCTTAATTTTTTTTAATAAAATGTAAATACCGCCTTCAAAGAACTAAAACTAATAAAATCATTTCACACGTCGTCAAGTCGGTGCTAGTGTATAGAATAATTAAATAATTGAATTAAATGATTGCGTTGCATAAAGTTGGTAGCCGTCGTAAGCCGAAACGAAGCGTATACAAGTCGCGGCACGTAAGCTTAGCACTGAACGAAACGTGGAGGGGACGGACGTACGAATTGAACTCCACGAATGCGAATGGAGAGATATTTAGCGCGTGCGAACGATACGCACGAGCCAATCAGCGCGACTTATGCGTAATAACGGTCACCGCTAGACTTTCGTGTCGCTACTTACACAATGAATAAGAAGTCGATCCAGTTTGTTTAGGAGTTCTTGTGAGGCATGAGCATAGCAAAGGACATTGCTCTACGCCCATACATTGTTCGCCCTGGAACCAAAAGCATCAAAAAATTATGTATTTTATTGTTGATCATTAGTAAATTCCTATTTGATCTTATTTTTATAGCGGACTAGCTGCATAATAGATATATTTCAAAAAAAGTATTAGATTTTGAGGTTATAATCGAACCATGAATATTACGGTTTTTCAGAGATCCGAGTGATTTTTAACAAACTGAAAAACAATGTCCTAAGACATCTAGCTATTTCTAGTACCTATCTACATAATTAGGTATGCAATTTTTGTCCTAAAGCCTAAGTGTATGTAAGTGCAACGTATAAATGCATAGAATGTAGTTAACAAACCTGCTTTCTGAGCAATGGTTTTGAAATGAGAGATAATGTTTGTGTGTATTAATGTAAAAATAAAAATATATGTATATATTAGCTGTTAGCATTTAGATGTTGTCATTAGCATATACGGTACTGTAAGATACCTAGTACCTAAATGTATAAGGATTTAGGCTGTCAGTCACGCCGCTAGACATGCCGTCGAACAGGGAGCGTATCAACCACGGTTTCAACCAAGTTTCAACAGCGCGCGCATGAACAGCGTGATTATTATAGACTACTACTACTAAACCAGCCATACCGACTTAGTACCTAATTGGTAATATAAGTTGTTTTTACACGTACATTAACTTATTATGTTTGAATTAGAAATAAAACACAGATTAATTTCATGTTTATTGTTCATTTTCTAAATTGGAAATAAGAATATTGTCTAAAAACTGTGCAGGGTTGTGATATTATTTTGATGTCTCGTAAAGCTCAAGTACCAAATAATGATCATAACATAGGCGCAGCAACCGATGGTTCTGCGTACAACGATGCAATTACAGCAATATTGCACGATTGCTTCTCTGTTCATCTTTAAACAATATTGTACCACCAGCAGAGCCGCTATTTACATAAAATACACTTTCCATTGCGTATGCGTAAGTCCGTTTATGAATGCTAGGTTATCGTTTGAGCGGTACACAGTTCCAAAAATCACAGTAAGGTAAGTCGTTCTTAAAAGCAATCAGAGTCCGTTAAAATAGCCAAGTCGTAATGTTCAATATATTATAGTCCCGAAAGTTACCACAACACCGATACAATTATGTACAAAGACAATTACAATTGCAAACGACGCCAACCAATGTAACTTTGACAGAATTAGAGATGACGGTACAAAGTAGGCATGTCCATTTGAAATCGTTTAATCGATTGTTTATAGTAACAGAATCGATTTTCCAGATCGATATAGATCTGAAGAATCCTTGTCCGATGTCGATACAGAAACCTCTCGAATCGGACTTATTCAAGAACTAGCTATATTTCAAACGATTTAAGAAATACTTTTGCATAGTTGGAACATCCGTTCCTTGTGACAGACAGAAAAACTGTTCTATTCTGGGTTCGATCCCAGGGTCGGGCAAATTATTATTGGGTTTTTATAACTTGAAGTTCCCAGTAGTAGCACGGAGTCTGGATTTGTGTCCGATGTTTGGCAATACGCGCATCCCCTATTACATGGGATGTATAACATAACAGTACTTACACACCTCTACCTACTCCTTCTGGAAAATACTGGCGTAATGTTATATTTATTAATTTAATGATTTTTCTATACAGTTACTTGTATTTACGGTAAGTTATCGTCAATAATGTTCTGTGTCTATATTAGGCATGTTTGAAAATGTCGCGATTGATCAAAAATAGATCTGTTAATGCTTGATTTAATCGAGAATCGATTCTAGTATGTTCGATTTGCATCGATTTGGAGATCGTATTTTTTTCATGAGAGACTGACAAGTGACCATTTAGTAACATCAAAAATAGGAGCGCCAAATACGATACGACTTATGAATATTTCCTAAGATTTATTATAGCCGTACGTTACAAACAGTATACCATCTATATAGTATATATCATCTTTTGTCATACGATAATATTAATACCAAAACACTGTCCTACTTTACTTATAATAACACGTACGTCTCTACTTCTTCCATACTTGTAACAATATTAATAATAATATCTGTATCTAGTTAATTAATGCAGTAACGATAACAGTTTTTTTTTAATTAATTGTCGTAAACTCGTAAGTTATCGTTTAGTAAGACGTAAAATATACTCCTGTCTAAACGATTATTAGAAAATCCTGAATAATTATCTTTACGAATATTTTTCTTCAGCAATGTTCTAATTACCTATTCAAAATCGAGTATGACATTCAATAGATATAGTAGGTTTTTAAAATTATACTTGTAGGGAATAATATAATAGAATATAAAGAAATGGTAATATAATATTTTAATTGTAGCTTCTTTTAGCAACTTTATTCGAAATAAATTAAAATGTAATTCAGATTAAAAAATATACAACAGTTCATTAAAAATTCAAAAATCGATTACAATCGATTGGGCATCCCTAATCATTTTTCGACAACACATGATGTTTGGCGAAGATGGCGGCGATTAATGTTATTAGTCGAATATAATACTTTTTAATGTTCATTTTTGCATGCAGCTAGTCCGTGTTATAAAAGTATTTGCAACTAATATAATAAAATAGAAAATTAATTATCGTGTATGTCCGATGCTTTTATTACACAGGGCGGTTTTGGACATTGTCCTTTCTGTATAATCGAGAATAGGCAACGAGCGATGGAAAGAGCTATGTTCGGAGTTTCTCTGGTAGATAAAATTCGTAATGAAGTAATCCGTCGGAGAATCAAGATTACTGATATAGCCTTCCGTGTTTGTAAGCTGAAATGGTAATGTGCTGGTCATGTCTGTCGCAGAAGTGACGACCGGTGGAGTAGACGTGTTATGGAGTGGAGACCGCGTCTAGGCAAGCGTAGTGTGGGACGCCCCCATAAAAAATCCTAGAGACAAAAAATATTATCGCGATTTTTTTTTAAGGATAGGGTGACAAACGAGCACACTGTCCACCTAATGGTAAGTGGTTGCTGTGACCCATAGACATCCACATCTATTCTCAATAAAGAATCAAAATGCAGATGCGTTTTGACCTTACCCTTGACGACTAAGTGCATTAAAAAGGTCCATTTCCAGTAAAAAGGGTCTCCGATTCTCTACACTCACCATACGAAACACAGCATTGCTAAACTGCTATTTTACGCTGGTATTCTGTGAGAGCGTGGTCCTTCCCCGGTCGAATCGACCCATTCGTGCTAAAACTACCAGTAATATAGCTGCAGCATGGCTCTACCACGTAAAACGTTAAACAAGACATGAAGCTAGGTACCTATCGTCGATACACATGTCATGTCTTAAATCGATTAAAACGATTGTTGTTACAATATGCTGGTAATGTTTTTATTTTTGAAGTGAAAAGTATTTTAGCAGCGTTGAGCGATTTTTGGTAGGGGAAAAACTTATGCGAACGCGAAGCAGTTACCGATGACCTCGACGAGCATGTCTACTAGCATAGCGGCCTGTACGTACGTGTACGTATACACATATATCATTGAGTTTTCTCTTCTGTCGGCAGTCCTTATGGCTGCCTCTGGTGTTTATTTGTAATTCTATGTTTTTCACACAGAAATGTGCTTATATAAATAAATTAAAAAAATACGATTAAAGAACAACTTATTGTACAAACAAAATGACAAAGTGTATGTTCATAGCTCTAAAGAAACCTCGAAACTTGTTTGAACAGTTGTCATTATCAATACCAAGAAGTCAAGTATTTTCCTTTTTGTGAAAAAGGAGTGAAGACTTCGTCCAAATTTTATCAAAAGACTGCCTGTGATCGTGTAGCCTTTCCAGTAAGTCGCTGCTCTCCTTGTGACAAAACACGAACAACTTAAACTTGGAGAAAAATGCAGCTTCTCATCCAGCCCAGATGTGAACTTGATGGCAAAAATTGTGGTCAGTATAGAGGGCATGGTCAGCTCTGAACATAACACAGAACTTCGACATTGAATATCTAAAGAAATATTTAGCGCTATCAGTGGCTTTAAATTTCCCATAGCGTTTCAATTTTTAGAAGTATATTGCATGTTACGTTTAAGAAAAATATTTTGTTTTTTACACTACAAATGATAGCAGACTGCGAACTGAAAAGTCGTGGCTTCGAATCCGTCATTCGACTACTGTTTTGTATAACTCATATCACAAGCATTTTTATGAGTCGTTATCTAGAGTGGTTAAAGGGATTATCAGTATTGTTAATAGCATTGATAGTCATCATTATCATTATCATTACAGCCCTTCACAAGTCCACTGCTGAACATAGGCCTGCCCCAAGGAATGCCACAAAGTACGGTCCTGAGTCACCTGCATCCATCGACTTCCTGCATATCTTACCAGGTCGTCACTCCATCTAGTGGGGGGACGCCCTACAACTTCGTCCGCCGGTACGAGGCCGCCACTCGGGAACTTTTTTCCCCATCGGTTGTCGGTTCTTCGAGCTATATGGCCGGCCCATTGCCACTTCAGCTTACTAATCCGATGGGCTATGTCGATCACTCTGGTTCTACTGCGGATATCCTCATTTCTAAGTTTATCACGCAGAGAAACTCCGAGCATAGCTCTCTCCATAGCTCGCTGAGCGACCTTGAGCTTCCTCATCCGGCCAGCAGTGAAGGACCTCACGGACCAAGGACTGAGACGTGCTCAGTTCCGTATGTCATCACTGGCAACACGCACTGGTAGTACAGTCTCGTTTTCAAGTTTTGAGATATACCTGACGAGAAGATGTGCCGTAATTTCCCGAACGCTGCCCAACCGAGTTGAATCCGTCGATTGACCTCTCGGTCGAAGTTGGACTTACCTAGTCGGACAATTTGTCCCAGGTAAACATACTCGTCAACAACTTCGAGCTTAGTGCTCCCAACAATTACCGCATAGGCATAGGCATAGGTGTAACATGGACATTAAACATGATCTTTGATTTGTCCATGTTCATCTTAAGACCTCCGTTGGAAGGTACTATTGAGTTTATTGAGCATAATGCTTAGGTCCTTCAGCGATTCTGCCATAAGGCATATATCGTCGGCAAATCGAAGGTGAGTGATGTCCACGCCATTGACGTTAAGGCCGTATCCTTTCCAGTCCAGTAGCTTGAATACGTCTTTCAATAAAGCGGTGAAGAGTTACGGGGATATAAGGTAACCCTGTCTTACACCTCTCTGCAATTGGATAGGTTTCGTACTTTGGTTCTGTACTCGGATAGCCATCGTAGCACTACTGTACAAGCACTTCAGCACTTCAATATACCGACAGTCAACTTGGCACCGCTGAAGGGACTGCAGCAACGCCCAAATTTCGACGGAATGAAAGGCTTTCTCATAGTCCACATACGCCAGACATAATGGCAAATTGTACTCTTCAGACTTCTGTACAATTTACCGGAGGGTATGTATGTGATCTATGGTGCTAAAGCCCTTTCGGAAACCGGCTTGATCGGGAGACTGGAAGTCGTCAAGTCTGCGCGCGAGACGATTCGTAACGACTCTCGAAAACAGCACGTAGACGTGGCTCAGAAGGGAAATCGGTCTGTAGTTCTTCAAGAGAGCGTTGCCACCTTTCTTGAAGAACAAGACACCGCACTTCTGCTCCATGCCTACCGGTGTAGTGCCACCATGGAGGACGGAATTAAAGAGCTTCTGAAGGATCAAGTACCGGTTTTCCACCCGCTTTCAGAAGCTCCACTGTAATTCCATCCTACGCCTGGGGCCTTGCCGTTTTTAAGGTGCTGGAGAGCCATTCTAATCTCACTCAGACTGACGTCCGGGATATCTTCGGAATAGTGTCGGATACTTGCTCGCTCGCTCGCTCTTGGATCGTTACTCACATTTGCGTGTGGCTCCAACGATGATGTGTACAGCTACCCATAGAACCTCTCAATCTCACTCAAAATCTTAGGTGTCCCGGCTCTTTCTGGTAGACAGATCTCTTGCAAAGACTTTGGAGCCCTGGTTCCGCTCGATCGCTTCTTCAATACGAGCAGTATTAAAATTGCGTAAGTCCCGCCGCATGCATTTGGAGATCTGTCTGTTCAGTTGCCTGTATGCTATCAAATCTAGTGAAGACTGCAGCTTCATTTCCCGTCTAACAGCCATGAGATTAAGAGTGTGATCGGAGAGTTTTTGTGTTCTTCTGCGGCGGGTCTTGCAAAACTTGGCTCCGACCACATGGACAGTTTCCACGAACTTATCATTCATATCGTCCACTGCATTGCAGTCTTCTAGGCATTGAAATCGATTTCGTAGCTCGAGCTGAAGGTTTCGGAACTTTGGGTTAGGGCACGAGGGGGACGGAGCGATGACTTCATTAGACGTAACCTCTCCAACTTAACGTTTAGGTTCAGTGTGCCTCTCACCATTCGGTGATCGCTGCCGTTTTCACCCTCGCGATCACTGAGACATCACTGAACAGTCGTCTGGTCGTCATAATGAAGTTAATCTCATTTTTTGTCGAACCGTCGGGGCTCGACCAGGTGCACTTCCTGTGGGGCCGCTTCTGGAAGAAAGAGTTCATCATAAAGAGTCCCTCTTTCTCCATTAAATCGCCCAGCTGCTGGCCCCTTGGGTTCCGTTGCCCTATTCCGAATTTCCCTACTTTCAGCTCACCGTTCTCTCTTGAACCTAGTTTTGCGTTGAAGTCTCCCATTAACACCGTATAGTGGGTTTTGGAGGAATGCATGGCTCTAGAGATATCCTCATACATTTCCTCCACCTCGTCATCGGGGTGTGCCGAGGTTGGTGCGTAAACCTGTATGACCTTCAGCGAATACTGTTTAGTGATTCTGAGTATAAGGTACGCAACCCTCGTCCACACACTCCCAATCTTTACAACGTTGTTAAAGAGAGACTTGTGGACGATAAATCCGACACCTCCTAGGGAGAGATGATCGCCCTCGCGGTGATAGAACAAGTTGCCGGATTCGAGGATTACCGTGTCCTCCCCCTCTCTTCGGACCTCGGATAATCCTATGATATTCAGGCGCAACTTGTCTATCTCTTCTTCCAGCTCTAGGATCTTCTCGTCAGTCCTCAGGGTGCGTGCGTTATAAGTTACGAGTCGTCGTAGGTGGCAATCGAACCTCCACCGGAGATTCTTAGCACCCCCTGCCCCGCCGTTACCATGGTCGCCACGGTAGCCAGGAATAGCGGGGCCGCCGGGGACTGGGGGCCATCTCTTCGTTACTATCATGGGGGGTATATTGCCATAGTTGCCACGCTTGGTGAGCGGGTTGGCGAACACAGTTTTTTTATTGTTGTTTTGCTGGTATCAGAAAGATGCTGCTGCCCATCCTCTGCTTCAGTTTCCCTCTGTCGCCTCTTAACACCCACGGTAAGATATGGAGTAGTGAGTATTCTTACCCGCCACTACACGGAGTGCATTGATAGTATTTAAAAAAATAAACAAATGAATTTCATTTTTATTTTACAAGTAACTTACAAATTATAGCATTTCAATAATATTAATATAAAAATATAAGAGTCCAAAACTTCCAAAAGAACTTTACCACCATCATTAATCAGAATAAGAAATCTAAACAGATCACTTTTTTAAGACAGTTTCATTGTTGATAATTATTTACCAGGCGCTGGGCAAGCCATACAGCTGGAATGCACGTGATGTAGCGCGCTTGGGACTTCTTCTAGGCGTAGTTGAAGGAAATGAACTAAGCGCCATCAATCCGGAAGCTGTTGCTGGAATAACTGCACATGTAACTTTTAATATTATAACTTTATTTAAGAAAGTGATAAATACTAACAACCAGGGCTCGGATAACGGTATATTTTTCGAAACGATTTCGCCTTAAATACCTAAAAACTTATTTCTTTCATTTATGTTCGAACGGAATCATAATAAAAACGTATAAGAAGAGAACGGAATTTTAAATCGTTCTTTTTTTTATAGAATAAGGGTGACAAATGAGCTCACAGTCCACCTGATGGTAAGTGGTTACTGTGGCCCATAGACATCTACATCTATCTTCGTTTGCAAATTAAAATGCAGATGCGTTGTCAGCCGTGAGGACTAAGATAGAATGCCTCTTTTCCAGTAACATGGGTCTCCGGTTCTCTACACTCACCATATGAAACACAGCAGCATTAAGCTGCTACTTTACGCTGGTATTCTGTGAGAGCGTGGTCTTTCCCCGGTCGAGCCGACCCATTCGTGCTACAACTATACTATTAATATAGCTGCACCATGGCTCTACCACGTAAAAACGGATTATATACCCAATTTCTTGTTCAATAAAACGTTTTTAACCATTTTAAATAGTTTTTTCCCATCTTTGGCCCTGCAGTACGAAACAAAAATACCTTGTAGGTTTAAACTTGTCGTGGCACGTGCCATTAATTTAGCTTCCTGCGGAATAAACCCGTTTTTACGTTTTAACTTGATAGTAAATATAGAATACACTATTACTTAGAACGGAATGTATTATGAATGCTCTATGTAGTCTGTGGTATTAAGACACGAGAGCTGTCAAAGCGTGAGCAAAAGTCAAAGCGTGTCTTAGATACTTAGCAGTGAAAATTAGAAAGGTTATTGATTCAGTTTTGTGGTTCTAGTCATTGACTTGACTTATTTAGTTAATTATATATTACTACATAGTTTTCATATCAATTGTTTTAGCTAAAGTTGTAGCCATAGCTGCAGTCATTGCTACATCATAACCTCAAAAGTGACGAAATACATAAGTGTAACGTTCTTTGATCCTCGGCTTTTAAATAATATATTTTCAATTTAGGATTGATATCGTGCCTAGGGGAATGGATTAATCCATACACTAGTCATGTTCGCGATATTTTATAGCCAGGTCACAGAAATTCTTTTAAACATTCTGTGACCTGGGCCGTGACTGATGTTCTTTTAACAGTTCATTGCGGTGAAATTTTTAGGGCACCTAATTTTTAAACCTAAAATGTCTCTAATTATATACACGACTAAACTACAGTTGTACGAACAAAATGATTCAATTGTTTCACTTTTATATTCAGCCAGGTTACAATTTATTTCACGGTAATCTGACAAATAAAAATATATTATATTATACATACGTGATACCGGATGTTTGATACTAATTGCGGTTCGATTTTAATTCTTTAGATGAAATAAAACATCTTTATTTCTTTGATGTAAGAAAATAAATTTAGTTAGCCAAATGTATTTTTTTAAACCTACTAATCTACTACCGTTTTAAAACGAGGTTCTTCTGACCGGAGAAGAAACAGGGAAAGAAATTCAGCAGAAATCCTCTTTTTGGGGTTCCGTTCCCTAAGGATACTAAGGACCCTATTACTAATCCTCCGCTGTCTGTCCGTCCGTCCGTCTGTCTGTCAGCGGGCTGTATCTCATGATCCGTAATAGGTAGACAGTTGAAATTTTCACAGAACGTGTATTTCTAAAGCCACTATAATAAAAAATAATTAAAATAAAAATAAATTAAAAATTAAAAGGGGCTTCCCTACTAGAAACGCGATAAGATTACGATGGTACGGAACCCTTCATGCACGAGTCTGAATCGCACTTGGCTAGTTATTTTTAAATACAAAGTTAATATTCATAATAGTCATAATTTGTACAGAATGAAAAATAACATCAGACCCATCGGTAACTGAATTACGTTCTATGGCGTACTCCGAAAAAAGACAGTCAAAAGTTTGGAGTTTATTAGCGTATAGCGAATATTATGGAATAAGTAAATCTTGATAAATTATACAAAATAATAACATGACACAAATAAGCTCTACTTCTAATATTATTTACCTTCAAGCGTGAAGAATATGTAATTTTGTATTTTATACTTTTAGGTTATGCAGATTATGGACCCGCAGAATCTACAGCATTTTACTGAAACTCAACGCGAATATTTGTCACCGAAACCTTTAAATATACTTGTCAGGAAGCTTAAGCTTTACGAAGAGCGACTACAAATTTACGACTCCGCATTAAAAACAAAGTCTGTCCTTACGTTGCCAGTTATTTCATTACATTTCGTATTCAGGTAATAATTATTGTTGATGTAGCGTTCAACTTGTAATAAAACTTTTCAACACAAATTCTTTTAATCAGAGACCATATTTTTTTATTTTGTGGAGCGTTGGTAGATGGAAGGTATACCGACCGTCTTCATGATATCTTGCCTCCAACTATAAATTAATGACATTGATAATATTAATTACTCGTACTGTAAACTACAAGCTATTTATATGTATTAAATTAAGACGTAAACGTTACTGAAGATATAGTTTCATACCACCACATTGCACCACCCCGTTTGTGTATCTTTGTTGACAAAATCCTTCAATGTTTCACTTTCTGCCGTTAGGTCCGAAAGTTTAGTTTTTACGACTTCTTTAGCTTTATTAAATTGTCCCTATAAAATGTTTCAAGCATTGTAATAAATCTAAAGGAATGTTAAATGGGTATTTCAATAAACCTCTTCTCTAAATGCCAACCTCATATACAGGCGGTTCATCTATTTAAAAATATGTACCTACCCAGATTTACTCTTAGGCAGAAAAGGAGCCCTACCACCTGGAAAAAGCATGAACATGGTATATGTGACTGCCTCGTTGGTCTAGTAGTTGTAGTAGTACGACTGCTGATCGTGAGGTCCCGGGTTCGAATCCCGGGTCGGGCCAAATAAATCAGTTATTGAGCTTTTCTATCAAGAAACTCTCAGTAGCTGCCCGGAGTCAGGAAGCTGGCGGTGTCTCACCCCCGTGCTTCGGAAAGTACGTAAAGCCGTTGGTCCTGCGCCTGATCTCTCTCCGGTCGTGTCAGTTTACCGTCCCATCGGACTATGAGAGTGAAGGAATAGAGAGTGCACCTGTGCTTGCGCATACACTTCGGCACTATAATCCTGTCCTGCGCCGATGGCTAGTCTCCGTTGAGGCTGGCCACCGTGACCGAAATTCGGTCTGGAGGAATTATATGTGACATTGGGAAGCAGCATTACTAGTGCGAGTGTATCGACGCTGTGCATACTAATTCCCTTCCCTAACTTTCCTCTGAGTAAGTGCAAATCTTTCTGAATATAGTGTTTGGTATTAGTGCCTAAGACGGCAGGATTTTAAACCAACAGGTCTATATTCAGCAGTGGAAAAGGTTAATAAAGGAGAAGGAAGGATATAGAAGTAAGAACTGATTTTATGAGTAATACACGACAACTATACATATATGTGTACTAGCGATCCGCCCCGGTTTTGCACATTTCTGGATCCTATTGTACTACCGGATCCAATTGTGAATCTAAACCATTCAAAATTGGTACAGCCATTTACGAAGGATTCAGTCACACACACGGAGAGAAGAATTGTATATATATATATATATATATATATATATATATATATATATATATATATATATATATATATATATATAACTAAACATTAGTTTATGCAAAAAGTAGAATTAGCCTAGCGTTTCACTTCTCACTACCGGATACAAAATGCGGCACAGATAAAAGTGCGCTACGCTGCCACGGCAACCGCTAGGCTTGGATGATTGCCTAGCGGACTTGCCCATTGTAATTTTTTCTTTATTTCTTTTAGTAATTTACAAACATTAAAGCAAGCGCCTTGTCTCTAAGATACAAAGTCTATTTTAGTAGTAACTATTAAAAATTTTTACCTGTTCGTGATTTACTGTAGAAGTACATGTACATTCGGAATAACGTGATGTCAGTTTATGTACAGAAGTAATAGTTAAAGGTTTCTCCACAGAATGCTCAAATTCTGAAAAAATGGGCTCATTTGAAGGCAAATCTTCTGGACATTCTGTTTTTAACAAGAAATTTTTACATTCACATCTAAAATTAAGGTACTTTTGTTAGTACATGGAATATAATGTAGACAAGAACAAACTGAGTTTAATTAAGTTGGCAACTACCTTATTTTTAAGTATACTTAAATAATACCTTGCCTTATCTTCTTTGATAACTGGAACCAAATCACGGGTAAATTTTTCACTATACGGGCCACATTCAATATGTGATTGTGATTTCAAAAGGTAATGCAGATCAGTACAATCACAGCATGAACAATGAATAATTATGATTTTGCTTTCATCGTTTATTATATTTCTCACTATTTCACCAGCTGAAATAGGTTCCTTCGCTTTATGTTGAATAGAGTTACTGCTACATTGGACAGCTTCACTTGGTTGTATATCTAGATCAACTTGAATTTCTTTCTCTTCTTTGGTTCTTTTCTTAAATAACTGACTTTTGTCATCAGTGTTTCGTTGTTCAGTTGAAACTGCAACATTGCAGTTTGTGACTTCTAAATTTATTTGGAGTTTAATTATTTTATCATTGTTTGATATTGCTACAAAGTGATCTAATTGTTTCAGTGATACACAGCAACATGGATCCGTAGAATCAGATTTTTGTTTTTCCGTAGAAAGTACTTGAGGGTTTTGAAAAGAAGAATTTATTTCGTTATAAGGGCTTATTTCCTTTTGGTCATCATGGCCTGGGTTAGAGATGAATGACTTGTTAATGCAGTTATTTTCGATAAAAGTAATAGACGTCCTATCACCATTTGTTGACAGCGCTTCAGTTTCTAGAGTTTTATTAATGCTTTCATTCGATTTATCGTTAATCTCTCTATTTGATATAAATCCATTTTCTGAATCGTTATAAATATTTGAAATTACTTGGTTTTCTTTAGTGGTTATGTCTCCTTTATTGTTATTTGAAGTTTGATGATTAACTCTTGTTGGAGTAGTATTTTTAGACTGAACTACATTCTTAAGTTTCGTCTCGATAACATTTAAACTTGTGATAGTAGAAGATGGGACTATGTTCTTGTCACTTGTTCCACTAATTATAACTTTCCCCTTAGTATTTCCTGGAAAAGTTTTCTTTATGTTCAAGGGTTTCTTACATAGACTATCCTTTGTTTTGATTGGTACTCTTTTAAAAGCTGTTACTTTAAAAGGTGCATTGGCTTGTTTTAATGCTGTAATTTGTGGAGAAATAGATGTTTTCTTTATTTCTATTTGCTTAGCTGGCTTGTAATATTTATGAGTGTTATCATAATCTTGAGTTTGTTTTGCATCTACAGTATAAGGTTTTATTCTGTTTGTTTTATTGTCATTTGAAGTAATCATTCTTGACTGTAAATTTAAAACTAATATACTTAAAAATAAATAAATTTAAAAATTTAAAAAAATAAATAAATTTAAAAATAATATACTTAATTGGCTTACATACCACTTTTATTCTATTATTTTGAACACGAGATTGGTTATTTTGGAAGTTTACATTTAATTGGGATTTTGATGCAACGTTTTTTATGGCATCTAAAAGAAATACCATTCAATATTAAATACTTTCGTGTAGCAAAATTTCAAATACTTAATTTAATAAACATTATTGTAAAAAGGTTGTGTATCCACCAGCACCAGAAAGTTTTTACCAGTTTCAAAGTCGCCTGCATCCATCTACTATTTCTATATTATTATTGTATATTTATTATACGAGTATATAACTAGGTGATTTTTTCACACACTTCATGTCACTTTTCGTAATTTAATAAATCAATTTTAAAACGTACATATTTAGAATACAAAGGTACGTGCTAATAAAAAATAACAATTAATTAAAATAAAATTCAATTAATACATCCACCTACCTTTTATTGGTGACTTCTCACTGTTGGTAATTTTAGACAGTCTCTTTTCCCATGACCTATAAAATATTGGTAGTTTCATTATTTACTAGCTGATACCCGCGACTTCTTTCGCGTTGCTTGATATATTAACAAAGTTTTCGTATGTGCGAAGGAAAAAACATCAGAAAGATCGCAAGCAAAAATATACTTGGCTTACAAAATTTCTTTGTAAACAATGTTATTCGTTGCTCCGTTTGTATTTACATATTATAAATTATCTGTGTTAGTAAAACGAGAGCAATCGATGTATAGTGTTGACCACGGGGAAAATACAAAGAGGAGGTGTTGTAGATTTCACTATGTGACAACGCGTGACAATTTGCAGGGTGAGGGGGTGTTAAGCCCCGCTCACTTAACTGTGTTTCCATCTAACGATATTTAGTAAAACTACCCGCATCTTTCCATAACGATGTTGTAATGTAGTTTAGCTGCCTTGATAATAGATGAACCTGTTCACAAAATGATTATAAAGACTATAAAAATAATACTTTGGCGATAAAAAATTCTTTAGGACTGAATGCAAAACAAATTTCAGCACCGTATAATTATTTTACCAATACTAATAATGAGCTCTACGTACCTTTATATTTCATCTAGTGTTGAATATATTTAATTATATTTGAAAGCCGGCGCAGAGATTTTTCTAGAATTATTTTAATAAATTAGGTATAAAATTACTTACAAATGAAATGTGATGCTATCCATAGCATCAGAGTGTCTATCTGAGTAGTTTTACACGATAAAACACAACACTTCATGCTTTTCTTCTTAATACTACGAAAATACACCGATTTGAGATTTTCGACACATAATCGCACAGGACAACGCACGTCCACTGTGATGACGTTAGGACCTAGTTAGAATCACAGTGCACAGTCTCCTCTTTGTATTTGCTCCGTGGTATTGACCATGTGAAAAACCCCGTATAAAAATCTTTGTTTCTTAAAACTTTAATAACTTTATATTAAATGAAGACGTCGCAACATTTTTTTAGATAAGGTCCAAGTGTCTAATAAATAAAACTTAGAAAACTTAATTGAAATCTATCAGTTGTTTTTCGTGATGCGTGCACAACTGCAATATCTTTTTATCATTTTATTTATATAGATGAATATGCGCGAAAACTGAGAATTTAATTCGTAAAGTAAGATAAAAAATAAATAAGTAACGAAGCCAAAATAAAGTTTCAGAGGTGTCAGACGTCTAGTACGGTTAATTTCAACCTAACTCCATTCTTTGCATTTGAGTCAATTTAAATAAGTTTATCTTTAATATGGTGGGAGGCATGACCACGTGTAGATTATTTATGAGCAAGAAAGGGAAGATTTAAGATTTTTAATGCGCACTAATGCGGCTTGATCTCTAGTGTGCAATATTTATTTTGGGTGACTTTAAATAATTTAAAAAAAAACTTAAGTAAAACTAATTTTACGGATTTTATCGCGTATATTAACTTATTTTATATTCCTGACGTATCGAGCACTTTCCAGCACCCATAGTCACGGGGGGGGGGGGGGGACTGAGTACAATAGGTAACCAGATGTAAGGCAGTATTACTCAGCCACTGCCTTACATCTGGTTACCTATTGTGGAAGGAAGAGTTCTACAAGCAAGTAGATGGAGTGGCGATAAGCTCACCAGTATCTCCCATTGTCGCCGATATATTCATGGAAGACTTTGAGGAGAAAGTCCTGCTTACTTCTCCCGTAAACCCAAGATTCTACAAGCGGTACGTAGATGACACTTTCATGATTCTACCTTTAGATAAAGTAACTGCATTTTTAGATCATCTTAGCTCCATAAATTCTAAAATTCAGTTCACACTGGAGTTAGAGGCAAACAATTCTTTAGCTTTTCTAGATGAGTTAGTAATTCGGAATCCTGATAACACCTTGAGCCACACTGTGTATAGAAAAAATACCTAAAAAGATAGATATTTAAATGGTGATTCTCATCACCATCCTTCACAGTTAGCTACCGTGGGTAAATCCTTGTTTCAGAGAGCACGAGGGATATGTGACAGTAAACACCTGGCCGCCGAGCTCCAACACGTCAAGCAAGTTTTGCACGACAATAAGCTTCTGGTCCCGCGCCTACGTCACAGTGAACGAGTGAAGCCGCCCACAGTCGAACGAGTGCCTGCTGTACATATGGCAATATGTCAGAGGTGTCATTGACAAGATTGGCTACATCCTGAAGCGTGCTTCCATTAAAACATACTTCAAGCCGCCGAAGAAGATTAGTCAGTTTTTACCATCAGTCAAGTGTAATGTCAAGTACTACTCGTACAAGCTTGATTGTGAATGTGGTCTCTCTTATATAGAACAAACTAAAAGATCCATAAAAACCCGCATTAAAGAATACATAGCTGATGTGAAGAATCGACGCTCCGGGAAGTCTGCAGTCTGTGAACACGCACAGGATCGCCCCTGTAACTACATTAGATTTGATAGACCACAAATCCTCGCTAAAGAACACCGATTCCTTCCAAGGATGATTTGCGAGGCTATTGAAATCAAAAAACATCCTCATTTCAATAGAGAAGATGGCTGGGTGCTACCATCTGGTTGGGATCCAATAATTAATAAAATTAAATCCCAACCCAAGCATACAACTGTAAGACTTCAAGATACTGTAAGTTCATGCTGCGTAGATCGGAACAAAAATTTATAATTTTTAATCTGGAGGCAGGTGTGGTTAACTATGACATTGGGAGTTGGGACGTCATACACCTCAGTCCCCCCCGTGACCATGGGTGCTGGAAAGTGCTCGAAACGTCGGGAATATAAAATAAGTTAATATACGCGATAAAATCCGTAAAATTAGTTTTATTTAAATGTGTAGTGTTCGTGTAAATATAAGAAATCATTAACAATGGTTCCTTGAATACTCACCGCGTAGCTTTAATGATATAATTTTCATATCCAGCTTGAATGAATTTACAAGGAGGTTCAACGGCCACATAAGCCGCATGATGAACGAGCTGTGATAGGCTATCAACTCTTTGTCCATCAATCGTATAAATTTCTATATTTGTATGCCTGAAAGATAGATTTTTTTTTATAGGATCGGGTGACAAACGAGCATACAGTCCACCTGATGGTAAGTGGTTACTGTGACCCATAGACATCTACATCTATCCTCAATAAAGACTCAAGATGCAGATGCGTTGTCACCCGTGAGGACTAAGATGGAATGCCTCTTTGCCATTAAAAAGGGTCTCCGGTTCTCTACACTCACCATACGAAACACAGCAGCGTTAAGCTGTTATTTTACGCTGGTTTTCTGTGAGAGCGTGGTACTTCCCCGGTCGAGCCGACCCATTCGTGCTACAACTATAATATAACTGCAGCATGGCTCTACCACGTAGACACCCGTGTTTATTATCATAAACACCCGTAAAAATCAACTCCTGGATAAATGCCTCTCCTTTTTCTCCATTGTAGCGAGAGTTTGCCTTAAATTTCATGCTTAGGAGAAGAACGGACAATCGTAGTATCAGACGTGTTTTATCGTCTTCCAGTTTGATTACTTTACGCCTGGCATATATCGCTATCCATCGGTAGCCTTAAGGTCTTTCTGACGATCTCCATAATCGCCATCTGCCCATGAGACGAAGTAAGGTGATACCTACATTGTTTTAGGCTCTACCATATGATAAAATTATAATTAACACATTAAATACAGCTGCGATAAAAATATTCATAGAAATAGACTTACTGTGATCCGAATTGTGAACGCGCTAAATATGACAGTGTACCATCCCATGTCTTAAGTTCATCCATGTTCAGATGGTATTTTCGTGGGGGAGAATGCTTTTCACCATTGGAGAATAAAAAAATATCTATTGCATCCCGCTCTTTTTCATCGAGTGTTATTGTTTGCTCTGTCATTTTTAAATGTTTAGGTACTCATTCATCAGAATAATATTACTTTTGGAAAGCATTGCATTCATCTTAATTATAAGAATTTCTGGAATCTTCTGTGCTACGTAAAATTATTTTTATTACAAATTATTATATTACAAGTTTTACTAATGAACATTTATCTAATTTAATAATATTTTATAGTTTTAATACTAAATAACCAAACAAAAACGTTTTTCCTAAAAGGAACAGGTATGCAATACCAACTAAGAATAATTAACTATAATTTAAAAAAAAAGATAGTTACAATCGAGGAAGGTATTATGTTTTTCGAAAATTTATACAACCGAGATAAAATGCAGCTCACTTCATACATCGTTATTGTCACTCATAGATTATTATTTATATATTTATAGTGACACTATTATCAAACGAAAAGTGACCAAAAAGTATAATAATTATCTATAATCACAACTAAACTAAACTTAGTGATCAAAGAGTATATTATCTTTTAATCTTTTTAGAGGCGGGACTTCCCTAAAATAAATGTATGAAAGGATACCAAAAGCCTACTCTACCTACCAACCAACTTTAAGACTGATATTTAATATTTATATTATTACTTTGATCACCACGTTTTAAATGTTAATAGTCACAACAATACAGGTATCCTTTATTTTAGGAAACAAAGAGTTTTTAAGTCAGGTAAACTTTATTTAACCTAAAACTGCTATGCGCGTGGTAGTGTCTTTTTTAATCGCTCAAATTCTTGTAAGTTCTTGCAAGTTTCAATATCTATATATAAATAAAATTATAGAGGTTTGCAGTTGTGCGCGCATCACGGAAAAACTACTGAATATATTTCAATTAGGTTTTCTATGCTTTATTTCTTGGACACTTGGCACTTATCTAAAAAAAATTTGAGATAACTTCATTTAGTATAAAGTTATTAAAGTTTAAAAAAACAACGATTTTTATAAGCACTACGTGTTCAGTGTTGCATGTAAGCAAAGCGGACGAAGTCGTGGGTATCAGCTAGTTATTAATAAGCACGAAAGTATCTCTAATACCGCATCATATCGGCGACCCTTCGGAGGTGCGGCGATCGTTGACCTCGTAGTGCTGGGTAGTAATAAACCAAAGCATGGGCGTGGTTCCAACCCCACACTCGATAACTAACACCATTATAACTCATTTCCTTAAGGAATTGCTTTATACAGTGTGTTCAAAATAAATAAAAATAATAATTTACAGGACAACAAACCAGGAAACGGGCAGCGGCGCCTTCCCAATAACTACAAAAAAATATATATAAATGCAGTGTAAACCCCTCCCAAGCGTGGCAACTATGGTAAATACCTCCCTATTCAGGAGGTTCATGTTCAGCAAAGGAGTTATGATTAGTTGTAACGGTTACGGTGATGGTAATTATTTACATGCAGAACTCAAGCTTGTAGAACTGACAACACTTTTTAAAGTGATAGAGTCATACTGCAGCTATATTATAGTTAGAATGAATAGGTCGACTCGACCGGGGAAGGCCCACGCTCTCAAAGAATACCATCGTAAAATAGCATCTTAATATTGCTGTGTTTGGTGCTGTGTATTGTGAGTGTAGAGAACCGGAAACCCTTTTTACTGAATACAAGGCGGAATGTAATGCATCCATTAAAGAATTTAGTCCTCATTGTATTTGTATTTATATAAAAAATTACAGACTCAGCATATGCAGAGTCTCTAATTTTTTGTTAACTCAGGGATGATAACGCATCTGCATTTTGATTCGTAATTGAGGATAGATGTTGATGTCTATGGGCAACAGCATCTACATCCTATCATGTATACCGTATTCTCGTTTGTCACCCTAATTCTATAAAAATGTAAAGGTGCAGTCAAAGGTTATATTATCATTACATTTTAGTGTGCAGCAGAACACAGAATAGAAAAACTCTCTTCTAAATGTTAATAGATGCAGATTGGATGAAGTGTGCTCTGTGTTCAAGTCAGTGCAAGTGTGTGCAAATCAGTACCTGACTTGTGGTGGTTATGCTTATGTTGAATAATGGAAGATCCGTATGAGGAAACTTAAATTCGCTTAGCGAGCTAAAATAGTTAGCGAGCTTAGTTCGACGAACGGACAATCGATAAGGAAGAAAAGTTCTAGGGTAGCAGCGTACCTATAATCATGACGTAGAACAGTCTGGCACTAAGTGGAGTGATGACCTAGAAAAACATGCAACAGTCGATGGATGCAGGTGGCACAGGACCTTGTCATGTGGCATGCGTTTTTGCCATTTCATTTATTAGGATAGGCTTATGTTCAGTAGTGTACTTGTGAAGGGTGATGATGGCGATACAGAATACAACTGATACAGCAATATATATATATATATATATATATATATATATTGTTGAGGGCTATTTTATTGTGTAAGGGTAATCAACGAGCACACAATCAACATAATGGTGAGTGGATGCTGTGGCACGTATAGATCTACATCTATCCTCAAGTTTGCGCGTTTACCGCTAAAAAGAACCCCTTTGTCATATCTCCTCAGTTTCAAGGCACTCCCCTTGCTGCCTCAGCTAGCATCGGAATCCTCGGCGTTGGCATATCAAATAGTGTGCAGTTTCATGGTCACTTGAAAGGGAAGGTCAAATTGGCTTTTAAAATGCTTGGCGTGCTCAGCAGAGCGAGACAGTATTTCATGCCAGCACATCGCCTCCAACTTTACAAAGTACAAGTTCGGCCTCACATGGAATACTGTTCTCATCTCTGGGCCGGGGCACCCCAGTGCCAGCTCCTTCCACTTGACCGCATCCAGCGCAGAGGGGTTCGAATAGTCAACGACCGAGTTTTTTTTTTTTATAGGAGAGGGGGCAAACGAGCATGCGGCTCACCTGATGGTAAGTGACTACCGCCGCCCATGAACAACCGCAAGGAAGTCGTGCGAGGAAGAAAACATCTTCTAAATCGCACAGTGGTGGACCGCCAATCATCCAGATGATGTGGATGGTATCGGGAGATCTGCCGCGATGTGCGTTCATGAAATTTGGCGGCTGGGATTAATCCGAACAATTCCTCAGAGAATTCTGATCGGCTTGATACACTGGCACTGCGTAGGGATGTTGCATCCCTTTGAATTTTCTATCGAATATACCACGGGGAGTGCTCTGAGGAATTTCACGAACGCACATCTCGTCGTAATTCACGACACTTCATCCTCATCATCAGGATGCTTGGCGGTCCACGACTGTGCGTTTAACTAGGAGTTTTCTTCCTCGTACAACGTTTCTGTGAAATTGTTTACCACCGGCGATTCTTCCCGACCGATACGACTTAGGGACCTTCAAGAAAAGAGCTTACACCTTTCTAAAAGGCCAGCAACGCATTTGCAATTCCCCTGGTGTTGCGGTTGTTCATGGGCGGCGGTAGTCACTTACCATCAGAAGAGCCGCATGCTCGTTTGCCCCCTCTTCTATAAAAAAATGAGAATCAAAATGCAGATGCGTTGTCATTCCTCAGAACTAGGATGGAAGACAAAAATAAAAGGGATGGCTCGTTTCCATTGAAAACGATCTCTGGTTCTCTACAATCAGCATATGAAACACAGCAGCATTAAACTGCTATTTTACGCTGATATTCTGTGAGAGCTAGGTCCTTCCCTGATCGAGCTGACCTATTTGTACTACTAACATAATGTAGCTGCAGCGCAGCTGTCCCATGTTTAAAAACTTTTGTTCTCCGACTTGTCATTACAGGAGTTTGTAGCCGACTTCAAAAAACGGAGAAGGTTCTCAATTAAAGTTTCCTTTTTAGGGTTCCGTACTTGAAGGATAACCAACGGGACACTATTACTAAGCGCCCGCTTTCCGTTCGTCTGTCTGTCAGCGACGATGATGATCTCACGATCCGTAATTTTATTTATAAAATAAGGATGACAAACGAGCACACAGTCCACCTGATGGTAAGTAGTCGCTGTGGCCCATAGATATCTAGCCCATAGATTATCTTCGTTTGCGAATTAAAATGCAGATGCGTGTCAGCCGTGAAGACTTAGATGGAATGCCTCTTTTCCAGTAAAATAGATCTCCGGTTCTCTACACTCACCATACGAAACACAGCAATGTTAAGCTGCTATTTTACGCTGGTATTCTGTGAGAGCGTGGTCCTTGTGTATTTCTGTGAAGTATCTGTTTGTATGTCAAAGTAACAGATTTTTACTAAATGCATATGCACGTATATACGGTACTTATAACAAAAACACAATTTTTAAAATTTTTGTCTGTATGTCAATCTCCGAAACGGCTGTACCGATTATGACGGGACTTTTACTGACAGTTAACTAATGTTATAAGGAGTAACTTCTACGCTACTTTTATTTTAGAAAAGGAATTAGGGTTCCGCGCAAAAAATTTATACCCATAAAAGCGCGGGCAACAGCTAGTAATATATATACATTTAGTGAAAAAATCTTAAACTACGGGTGAAGTTTTAACGTAGATGACATTTGAGCTTGTATATTTCTAAGCCCTCTCGAGAGAGTTAAAAAATTAAACTTTTAATAAAAAGTCGCCTTAAAAGAACTAAAAATAATAAAAAACAATCCCAAGCTGAACTCATGGCTTTAACTCTACAAAACACTAGGTCTTGGCCGGTGGTATTCAGTATGAAAAGTAAAGTAAAGTAAAATTGAAACCTATGTACGTCCCACGGCTGTGTCATTTCTGAGAGGGTTTTAGGCTAAGGAAACGTCCACCGCGCTGCCCCAATGCGTGTTAGCGGACTTCACTTGTCTTCGAAATGTAATAATAATATCCTCCAGACCTAATTTCGGTCACGGTGGCCTCAGCCTCAATGAAGAGTAGCCATCAGCGCAGGACAGGTTACAGTGCCCAAGTGTATGCGCTAGCATAGGTGCACTCTCTATTCCCTCACTCTAATAGTCCGATGGGTAAACCGACACGACCATAGAAATAAGGCACAGGACAAACGGCTTTACGTGCTTTTTGAGACACGGGGGTAA